TTTTAAAAATTATTTTTAAAATTATTCTACACAGCAAGTCCTTATTAATTTTGAAAAAGATAGTCATTATAACAACATCCAGTCACGAAATAACAAACTGCAATAATGCAAGTAATGTTAATCAGTGCCATTATAAACCAATGTAAAAAAGAATAGTATTTTTTATTAAGGGAATGGCATATATAATTTTAAAATTTGATTATAAAAATAGTATAATTTGGAAAGTATATCAAATGTAGTTTAATGAAATGCTATATAATTAAGTGAAAATTTATTCAAAAACAATATAACGAGGCCTGGATTTATTTTTTGCTAACACATTCAATAAATAATGCTTGCTCATAATGACACAGGTTATTAAAGGCTATTGAAACATTAAAAAGTATAAATAAAATAATAACGAATGCTGCAATTTTATTTAAACCCACATTACATTCAAGCAAATAAAGAATTAATATAGATTGTGTAATCTAATGTTATAATAATATTTATATACCAGGTACTAGGGTGGATATAATACATGATATGTTTTCCGTAATATACTGTATTATACATGTATTATACAATGAATGTCGTGTATTATTCATGTATTTTGCAAATAGGCATAAATAATAGTAAATATTAATTGAAATCATACTTATTAAATACTCTAATTTGATCACCAAATTGAATATAAAACTAATCAACAATAAACTTGTGAAATGTAATTTTTCATTATACATACAAACGATAAATATAAATGTCTATGTATAAATATAAAGTTTCTTTAATATAGATATCAAAGTATAAATACCTTCGAGAATAAAGACAACACTGTTAATTTTGCAATTAGACTTTTATATAACTTTTCAACTTGAAAGAATAATGTATATCTAGGTTAAATTTGATTCGTATTACATTTTACTTGACTGGTCTTATAACTCAAAGTATGGCATTTGAATTGTGGCCGATTATATAATTGTAGAAAATGCTACTTTATATATGGGAGCCGTCATATGTTGCGAACCATTAGGGTCGGCATCTATACCGGTGCCGCTCTCTACCACTATATTGTAGTGTCGGGTCGACTGCAAAAATGTGACCAAAACTAGGAAGAGGTCAGCGATGGCTAACTTCTCGCCCAAACACATACGCCGTCCCACACCGAACGGGATGTACGCCTTTGAACGCACTGTTATATACCGGCCCTCACTATCCAGAAACCTTTCCGGTATGAACTCATTGGCTTTGTGCCAATCCTTATCATTGCGACAAATGATACCATGGTAAACTGCTACGGACGTATTTTCGGGAATTGCATATTTACCTACGATTTACATAAAAAGCATTATATACTGTAAATAATATAACAATTATATTAAGAGGTACTACAGTATTGCCTAATGAAAGGAGTTTTGTTTAAAGCAATATTACACTTAGTTGGAAATTGTATACAATGTTATACTAATATTTTGTGTTTATATATCGGTAATCATTTTTAGAATTATGTTATTTGACGGCACAAAGCAGTTGACATTCATGTTATACACAGTCCATAGAACTTATGTTATTCAATGAAATAAAAGAAGATGTCAGCGATAGTTGAACGTGAATTCAACAAACTAATTTATTAAATTTATTAAAAACACTTTAGTTGGGTGCACGACCTCTTAAAACAACAATAAATTCAAATTCAAATTCGCCAAGTTTAGTCAATTCAAAATGTTATGTCGCCGACTAACTATTCATGACAATCATAACATAACCACTCAATTTACTGTTTCCAACTTAGAAAATAATGCTATAAATAGAATAAACTTCTAATCTTCTATCAAAATCTTACCAAACTCAAAATATTAAAATACACATAATGTCCCTATCATAATCACTATTGTATAAGTAGAAATATAGTACTATTTGCTATAGTTTTTTAAGTGTACCAGAATACGGATTGGTTAACATTTATGGGCTTCAGGGCTACTATTGATAGTTAGTATTAATTATACCATTACTAATTGCTGTTGATTAAGACTTGTGTTACTATAGTTCATATAAGTATCATGATTTGATAATATGTGATGAATGTAAACTAAGTTTGAAAACTAATGGAAGATTTTTATGAAAATTGACCATTGTGATTCATCAATTAATTTAACTGATTACTTGATAGACATATGTATATAATAATAATACCAATTTGAATGTCGACGAGAGCTCTGTGTGGGACACCAATCGGAATAATATTTCTGAACCTCAGGGTCTCAGCGATGAAAGCCATGACATAATGGCATCGATTCCTGTCCTCATGTGTTGGCATTCGGTCTCCGATTTGTGTCTCAATCTCTTGTCTCAACTTTCGCTGCACTTCCGGGTAATAGCACATCAATAGCACAATCCATTGAAAGGTGTTTTGCGAGGTGCTTATTCCTCCCAGAAACAGACTCATCGCAGACATCGCCAGGTTATCATCGGTGAGATAAGGGGCCCACTCTTTACCCTCTCTGAGGGCCTCATTCTTAGCGGTTATGAGTGCATCGCAAATGTCTCTCTCAATAGCATCCGAGTAGTCCGCGTAATGATCTTTGAATTTATTTCTAATCATTAAACTCATCTCGGTCAAAATTTGTTGTTGTTTTTGCACTGATCTCCTGTCCAATAGTCGTATAAATGACGAGAAATCCCATAACATAAACCTGGCGCCCACCTCATGACCTACGTCCATTAACACGTATTTAAATCGTTTCAATTCCGGGTCATCCATTGTGTAGCTATTATATGACAGTTATTTTTAAAACATACTGTATATCCTACTGCATATCTCTGATAATTGATCAGTGACTTTTTAACCTACCGGTATATTGTAGTGACCTAGATTCAAATGGTTTATGTTCATAAATCTAAGTCTAAAACGATCATATTTATAAAATTATTCCCTGTTAAAAGTTGACATAACTTTTGATTTACAGTAAAATGTCAATTAAATAAAGGATATAAAAGTAATTAAAATAATCATGTTTATAACTAAACATATTTTGTAAAGCTATATAAGCTAGCACCCAAATTGTATTATCTATCATTCAGTACCTATTATTATTGTAACAATCTGACAGTTATATTCATAGTATTTGTGACAAAATAAAAGTTATATTTAAAGCCCACGTATATTAATCATTCATTTTAAGGCACCGGCCTTAAGGGTGGGTAGCATAACCTCCCGTTCACTTCAATATTATACTCAAAATGAACATGGAGTTTTTATAAGTTAAATATTTGCAGTACTGGTTTATTATGAGAATAAAAATTATTTTAGTAAAGTGTATAACCTTTTGCCTAAAATGCTGGCGGATATGATGTTGAAAAACATGTAAAAGATATAGTCCTTCACAATAAATGGTTTGTCCAGTCCTTCCCTATCGATCATAGATTTGACGGTTTGGTCGACACAATCAACGGTTAAATATATGAGTTTATCGAGTGTTGAATATTTCCTATTAAGGGTCAAAATGATATCAAGGTAATCAAATTTACAATTTGACCTAAATTACAAACTATGGATTATGGCATTATAAATAAATCACATCTATACTAGTAATATAATACGATACATTTGTAAAATGAACGTGCATGAATTATCAAATTATTTCAAAATTTTTTTATATATATACATAAAGACATAATTCAGAGTTTATAACCTTTTAGATCGGTTTGTGTTAACAATACTGAACTGAATGGCCGGTTGTGTGGTCCGTCTGATTGCTTCCCACTCGTGTCCGTCACTAAAGACCACCTCTCGATGATTATCATTTGACAATTGTTTGGCTTTTTTATCAAGATCATTGTGATTAATATCATTTAAGGTCACATGCAGTATTCAGTAATAGCAATTATACCGAAATATGAGCTTGGTCGTCCGGTGAGATTTCTCTTATGAAATGCCTCCCGCGCTATATCTATGTCCGTAATGACTACTAGAGGTGTGTTTGCGAACCAAACGGTGAATACCTGACCGTATTTGNTTATATAAAAGTCTAATTGCAAAATTAACAGTGTTGTCTTTATTCTCGAAGGTATTTATACTTTGATATCTATATTAAAGAAACTTTATATTTATACATAGACATTTATATTTATCGTTTGTATGTACCGTAATATTCCACATTGTATTACATGTAATACTGGGTCATATCCACATGCTAGATTATATAAATTATTTGAGTGATTATATAAAATGTAAGTTTTTTCAATTTGACTGGATTTAGAAGTTTAATTGTACATTCTATGA